GCAGTTCACAGGACCGTCACTTCTTGCTAGAATTTCAACCCCATGAGATTTGAATATGTGGTAGGGTCTCGTCAAATGAGCCATGACTTGACAATTGGCATCATTTTGCCGCATTGCTGCTGCGTGTTCGGCAATTCACGTCTTGATAGCACTCAACACACAACAGGGCAATTATCGTTAATTGTCGTAAGAGTGCAGTAATGACTCTGTCCTATAAACCCAGTAACATCCTGTGCATATGTTGTCGCTCTTGCTACTGCTAACTGCTCTTCTATGAGGAAGAATCCTCGACAGATGTCAACACATCAGGCGAATAAAAGTGTTGTCCTAGCGATCGAATCATTCGCTCAGCTATTTAGTATCATCAGAAGAAAAAGCACTGGGCCACGAAAACCTTTGAAATATTTTTAAGTATTGTGAATAATGTTAGCAGCAATATATTTTATTCTCCTGCCACTAACACTATCGCCGGTTAAAAGGTGTTGCAAAATAATGAAACAAAATGCATCGAATATCAAATTGTCAATGAATATGAGAACCATAAGACTGTATTACAAGTGAAAAAGGAATCAACTTGTCACGAATTCTAAAAGGTCCGCAAACAATTGTGAAAAAGCAAAAGATAAACGGAACAGAATATAACTGAGTCGGGGTGCGGGGGTGATGTTTACCGTCATGCCAAGCTGCAATGCCAATTCGCCGGTCTGCACGGTGATGTTGGGTTCGCGCTTTTGAATCTCCCTCACCATCATGGCCCCGAAAGCATTGCCCATCTTGCCGAGACACATCAAACCCACATCCAGACGCCGTGTACTCACACACATCTTTGCCATATTCTAGACGGAGAGAAGATAGGGGATGAAAAATTTGTTGGAGACTGAACATGAGCCGGACGAATAGTGTGTAAAATGCATACATACACAGTGTTTTTCTTGTTTTCTATCATTTGAGGGTAACAAGGAAGCCTCCACTGTATACCCGCGCAATGGACATTTTGGCTGTCCCAAGCGACTACATTGACTGCGGACCCCACGAAGTGGACGTACATCGGTTAATTGCGCGTGAATTAGTTTCATGCTAAAACTTGCCAAGTGGTTCCAGCAGTCCAGCAAGTATATTCTGTTATTACTATACCATACGTACTTAACACAATTAAGTAGACATGTTACACTTGGAGTGCCTATTTAGACTTGGGATTAGACTCATAAACAGTAACCGTAGAACACAGTAAGGTTGGTGGATTGTGATGAACATTGAAACAAGAAAGTTGGTAATTAAGATCAGACCCGGATTTCGCAGATTTTAAATTTGTGTGGTTCCCTTTTTGGAACCGTGGACGGTCCGGGGTAGGCGAATCGGTCGGTTGTATTCGGGGCTGGATTGAGATCAACGATCTCCGCTCGTTCTGTTCCGCTGGTTCACGAGAAAATGGCTACTGCCACGCAATAATAAAAGGTATTCCGAAATTATCATTTGCGACTCATACGTGTCTGAAGCCATCTGGTGTAATTTAACTAATAACAAAAGAGTAATAATGGACGAAATGAGGGATTCTGAATGCACCTGCCAGATAGCAGCACTTCGAACAAGTTTCATCGACTTGAAGGCGGCATCGATCTCGCCCTGAGCCAGGTAGAAGCTGAAGTTGAGCATTGCTTCCTTTGTACCGGGGTCGG